GCAATGCTCTAATGTTTGGTTTTAATTAAAGTTTAAATTGTACTCAGAACGTAACTTACGTGCGTAGAGAATAATGCCGTTGCAGTCAATGTACTGCGCTTCAGTAAAAAGGTTGACCGTGACTTGTCCGCTGTGCATCGAATTATCGAACACGATTTGCACAGTAATAAGGAAACAATCGGGCAGGTCAGAGGACATCACCTTGTTCAAATTGATGGTCTTCAAGTTAAATGAAAGTATTGCCTTCATAAACCTAAACAGAAAAATGATCATACTGTTAAGATATAATGAATTACTGATATAATTAATGCCGAATAAGCTCTATACAAAATTTATGCTCCCTTCTCCAAACACGGTATGAAACAAAAGTAATTTAGCCTACGTTTATGAAACGCCGTTTGTCCGCTTATAGGCGAAGGCTAAACAACCTCAGAGATCATTATTATCTACACAAATAGCTTTTGCACACAAAACATTCTCCATCGTAGACGGTTTGGTTTTTTGTCAGTGAAGCAGTTTATCACTTTCTTGGAAGATATTGTTGATTTACAAATGCTGCATTCATTTGAGCGCTTTCACGACTTTTTTTGAACGGTGCCCAAAGACATTAGTCGATGTATTACGGTTCGCAACGACGATTTACAAGCAGACCCCCTTCATTTATTGTATTGACTTCATTTCTCTCGTAGTGATATACAAAATCTACAGAAGGAGCCAACAGCATTTCATTTCGAAAGTTTGACTTTTTCGTTGCAGATGCCGTACAAGGCACAATTAATACTGCACAAACAATTGATAAGATGTTCGTTTTAATATAGATGCTCTTTCCCTTCCAGACATATTGCAGCTTCGATAGCGCAATTGTTGCTGTCCAGTTAACCTCAACTGGAAGTGTTGTGCCAAGGCATTTCATATCTGAATTCCTGGATTACTCGCTCAGACGACTGAACAGGTCTAAGGCTTGTTCTTTAATCTCTGTATGCAGATTAATATCGTTTGTGAACCAAGACTGCTGATTCATCGGTCATTAACTGACAAATCCAGCAAGGGCCAACTAATGCATTCTAGTGTTCTCCATAATTTCTTCCTAAAAGGCACCGGACAACGTTGGTGATAGCAAACATCTCTGATGAACAGGGATATCTTCAACCATTCACTAAACGCTCCTTATACTTTAACTGTGTTCGTTGAATATTATCAGAATGATTCCAAAAGGCTGATCATTTGCTCACT